TACTATCATATGGTCACTTACCCATTCTGGTCAAATAATCTATTCTAATACTGGGTAAGTCCAACGCCCTCTCTCTTTATATATAAATATATATTGTTTCCATTTTCTGATGCGTCTGTAGGTGCCAGGCACTATTCTACGCAACATGTACGAGCATTCTCTATTTCACCGTACTTGAGGGGCTGATCTTTATGGGCTTTAGCTGTTGGGGCATACGTGTTCTTTGCTCTAGCAAACTGGATCATGCTCACGAGGACAACATCTCTCTACGGAAACTCTCGAATATTCAAGTGGTCAATGTCGATATTTTTCGTTGCGTCATATATCGCCACGGGCGTCTTGATTACGGTTTCGATGGTTTCTCTTGGTCACCCAGGTTTGTTGACGGACTCCCTTTGTTGCCCATTGCCTTGTGCATTTCTTAACGTTTGATCATCGGGATAGGTCATATCTATTTCCTTTCACCATTTCGCATCTGTGCGATAGCTTTTCGCCCAGCTACTTATGGTGAGGATATATGGATCATACGACGGGAACAGGATGCTCACGAGCTTTAGGGTATATATGGATTCCTGCTTTGGTGCTCGAGACCGTAGTTTGTTGCCTGACAGTGTACAAGGCCTATCAAAAGGCAGCTCGACAGTACGGAATGAGTTCCCAGCTCTTGGTGGTGTTATTCCGTGACGGCGTCGTCTATTATTTTGTAAGCATTCACACGTTTTTTATTTCAACTCTAGTAGTTACTCATGTACATCTCACAGATCATCGTCGGTGAGAAACAGGTTGATGATCTCTGAGAGAAATTTACTTACAAGAGACCAAAACAGTATTCAGAGGATATAATATGGTCTCTTGGATGACGATGGAACCTGCACGCCTCTTTATTGCCTTCCAGTAAGCAAGTCTCCTTCCATAGTCGGGACCACTTCCAGTGAATTGACGACCAAATTCTATTCCACCTATCCAGAATAATGTGGAGCTTTGTGTGCATTCTTACTACACGTTTACAACTCAACCTTCTCAAAGCTGCACAAAATCCCACAGCGCCACGGAGCCATGGTCATTCCGGAACTTATCAATTGTCCTCATTTCTCAAAACTTGAGGATTATATGAGGGAATCATTGAGATTGCACTCCGGACTATGGCTACACTTCATCCACGCCTAATCTCCGACTATTATGACGAGGACCTTCGACTCGCCCCAGATCATCGAGCAGTATTTTTAGAGTGAGGCGACAAGGGAGGAGGATGACCCTTCCCAGGCCTAGACGGCATTGCCCATATTGCTTGCATCGCATCGGCTCGATGTTCCAAAATGTCGGGGCAACTGTTCTAGGAACGTTCATTTATTTCCATATACTTCTATCCATATCGACTGTTTTCCTTGTCTGCTTGACCCGTTCTGCTCGCGCGCCAGCTCGCGAGGATGGTGAATCAACAATCCTCGCCGATCAGCGCCCAATACTTCAATGTAACATTCCCACTGTTCAATGTATACAGACACCGTACCTTGGAAAAACTCTATTTCAAGCCGATGTTCGGGCGAAGTCCCTCGTTTTTGGCGTGCTCAAAGATCCAGCTTTGCGGCCTTATCTGGCCGCTTGTCCGGCTGGGAGAATGCTCCTGTCATAACCAGATAATGGGATACTCAATGAACTAGGAATAAAGAACTAATATTGACCTGGTACACAACCCCCTATGTAATTGAATCTGAGACCTACGTTCACCGTCCTTTGTATTTGTTTGCCTGCTGCCGTTGATTCCTCTTCTCCGCTTCTCTCGACGACTTTTTCTCAATAACCCGTTGAACTGCGAATTGGGAATCATGAAGCTCCGCAGGCACTGAAACCCTCTCTAACTTTTTACGCTCCAAGCAAAATCACGAGAGCAAAGGCTGAATGGAGCGAGATTTCCGTGCCAACCTCTCGTTTAGACCAAGAATCTCTCGCTTATCATCTATTTCGAATCGGCCAGTTCATAACGTGTCAACCACACGATATGGTGTTATAGTTGGGGATGGGAAAAGAGAAGCATCGGACGCGCGTCTGGCCAAAAGAATCGACAAGTCTGTAGGCCGGCGATGTATGGCCACAGCTAGGGATACACGCAGTTCCGCTTCTCATGGACTCGATATAAGCCCTCTCACAAAGTATAAATCCATCCCAACCTTCTCTCGTATACTTTGTGGATCATGTTCCCCGTACTAGAGCCAAGGGTTATAACTATAGCCGCCATCAGAGAGGCCGGCAGGGATTTGGCACTCGCCAAATGGTTTTCAGGTCAGTCTTACTTGATATATTTACGTTGGAAGTTGGTGTCTGAATGTCTCTCCTCATAGCTGTTTCTATCACTCTCCTCGTTTATGACACATTCCTCACTCTTGCGGACGAGGTGGGTGCTACTTGTGTCGACACAGTGCTTATTATTGATTCATTGTGACCTGGAAATTTCAGGTAGAACTCCTATGGCCTAAACGATGGAATGTCATCAAGCTATTTGTCTATCTGGTATGTCCGAGACCGGCCTGGAGCGGCAATATTACTCCCAGGAGTCGCTGACCTAGCCCATCGATAGAACCGCCTGATCACATTCCCCTTTACTATCGTATGGGCATTAACATACACGCATTCATTGGTCTATACTGACT